ATCTTCGGCTACGGGAGCCCGGCGGTGGTCGTTGCCATCTCGGCGACTCTCGGCTCCAAGTATTACGGCACTGATAAAGTGTAAGTGGAAGGAGAGGTGTTTATTGTTTGCACCACCGGACACCAAAGCAAATTCCTTTGTCAACGTAACTGGCAATAAACTTGATTCTGATTCTGAAGACAAAGGCTTTTACAAAAACCTCTTCTTCAAACTTAATAAGCATTTTTGAGGAAAGGAAGATAAACACATTACATTAATTATAAATACAAGGGGACAGAGATTACATGTGGCCTGCAGGGACAACAAGGAAGTAAAGGACGCTTGGAATGAATACAAATCTATAAATAAAAGTAAGTCTGTTGTTTATTAAAGTCAAATATAATTAAAAGATTGAGGTTAAGCAAAAGTAGTGCGAATTGTTATTGTTTTTGTTTTTGCAAGATAAGAAAGGTATTTAACTAGACCATACAATATTGTCATAATTAAGATAAGGCTCGATTAGACTGGAGTGAAATGATCGAGGGTATTGATTTGCAGGAAGAGGGATTATTGCAACAAAGAGATGTTTAAACATTCAGTCAATAAATAACACTTTCTATATTTGCATTGCAGGTGCTGGCTGAGCACAGAAAATCACTTTATTTGGAGTTTCATTGGCCCGGCGTGTTTGATCATTCTGGTAAAGATCTAAAAATGGCTTTAAAGAATTCATTTGAATCATCAAACAGGGATTGTTTAAAAGATGAATATACAGTTGCTCATGTTTGTTGTTATTTGTGTTTTGATCGGTCTCCACTGAAGGTTAATCTCTTGGCTTTTGGAGTCATCATCTACAAAGTGTACCGGCACACTGCTGTGAAGAGGCCTGAAATCAGCCACTATCAAAACATCAGGTAGGATTATCCGTCCTGCTGTGGAGAAGATCAAAGGAATAAGAAGAAATGAAGCTGAAATGTTCTCAGCTGGTAGATTAATATGATACCATGTGGTGTTCTTGTTTACAATTAGTTGTTTGAGACTTTCTTTGTGGCGTCGCTGTGTTAAAGTCAGTGTGTTGTCGTCGTCGTCGTCCCCCCCCAGGTCCTGTGCCCGCGGGGCCCTCGCTCTGCTCTTCGTGCTCGGGGCCACCTGGACCTTCGGGGTCCTGCACATCCTGCACGAGACCACCCTCACTGCGTACCTGTTCACCATCGCCAACGCCTTCCAGGGGATGTTCATCTTCATCTTCCTCTGTGTGCTGTCCAGAAAGGTGAAGATTCTCAAATGTTTCTACTTATTTATTCAATTGTTTGTTTTTCATTACATGTATCGAGTGACTATAGTTAGACAGTGAGCCTTTCAGATCAACAGGAAAGAAGTTTATTGCCAACCAGATTCATGATAGTATGTCCGAATCACAATCAGAATACCTTCATTCGTCCCACAGCGGGGACATTGACTTAAAGTGAAGATAGAGACACAAATATAGAAGACTATTAAAAAGGGCATACACATAATATAAAAAAATTAAAAAAGTGATTTCAATTTACAAGTAACGTTCGTAATACATTTCCAATTGACATATTGCACACAAGTGTTATTGCACAGTAGTGGTGCCGTAGTCTGTGTTGAAGTAAATAATACATTTAATTTAAATATGCTATCATAAGGTGATAGATAGAAGAAGTATTGAACTATTGTTATGTTAAAATAGCAATACAAAAATAACAAAATACTCCTTTACAAGTCCTGCATATACAAACATACAAACAGTAAGAAAAAGTACACGAGTATGAGCATCTAAATATCAACAACAATTTGACTTATTATGATAAATGATAATAATAATTCAGACTGCTATATTTATGGATTTACTGTATATTTTTGGAATACTATTACCGAGTCAATAACATGTAAGCATCATTTTAATGTTCTGCAGGGAGAGCTAATTTGATATATTTAATGATTAGTTTATTCTGTAACCAATGCCTATATGCATACAATTTTGATCAGAAAAAGTTCCCTACGTAAAAATTAACTATTATATTATATATTATGTTATATTGTATTATATTCTAGTGTTTTTTAAATACGTTTTCATCTAAATCTGACCTTCCTGAATGTGTTGTTCCAGATTCAGGAGGAGTACTACAGGCTTTTCAAAAACATGCCTTGTTGTTTTGAATGCCTGAGATGAATTGAGGAGAATAACGCCTGATCACCTGCACTTCTAGAATAATAGTCCACACTGAAGCCTGGCAGTATCCTGTGAGTCATGCTTTTTGTTTTCCAAAAATCCATGTGGGAGGAATTGTTAAGTTCAGATGTCTAATAAATGAAAAAAGGCAGCACTTGTAATTACTAAATGTCTTGTTTCCCTTTCAAAGACTGCCATCATCTATTCTTCATGTTGTTTGATTTCATGTTTACGATCTTATGTGCAACGCAGACTACTGTATCAACATTTCAAAAAACACATTCTTGTGTATTTTTTTTTCAGTTTAATGTAATGCCTTTGCAATAATCAGCCTTACTGTGCAGTCTCTTGTCTTTGTTCCTTTCTTGTGTTTCAAATTGATTTGTAAATTATTAAACATGAATGTGGCAAACTAACACATATTGTGCAGCGCACTTCTTTTATGTGCAAAATCAAAGGTCTCGTTTGAATACATTGTCTCCCTCCCATTTATGAACATCACAGGACTAAGTGTACAGTTTACTGAATATTTGGTAGGTAAATGGCTCCATCTGTTGGACATATGGAGGAACAGTCTTAGCACTGTAAACATTTTACACAAAATGACAGCTGGCAACCCTTTCTGATTTGTATGTGTGTCTGCATGATCAGACAAAATTATGTATTTAGCATGTTGGTCCATATGAGCTGTGATGTAGCCCTCAAAGGCTTTGTGATACTGAGCTATACATTAATACATATTGTGGTTGAACCTTTACTTCCTGCATGTGTTCTTGCTGTCTCTGAATTGTATTGACTTTAAGGAGCCTAGAGCTGGAAATTGAACCAAACTTACCAACATTATAATAGTAATATTGTCTCTTTCTATTCATATTCTGACTACCTAACAATTCATCAACGCACAACTGCAGTATAACAACCGACAGAGGCTAGCCAATAAAGTAAAGCAAATATCATGCAGTGTGTCAACTGGTTTTTCCTTCATGTATTCCAAAAGAGTTATATATATATATATTAAGGCTCTGATATCTGACAATAATCATGTTGAGGAAATATTTTCCTGCTTTTATAAAAATGGGGTGGTATGTTTTCTTGCCCAAATGTCTCACATGTTATCACTCTGTCTAAATTCTGGGCAGTTATTTGACTTGCAGATAGGTCTTCATCACTGCTTTTTTATAACCGCCAAATACATGTGCACTTATTTTCTCTATTTTCTTCTCAGTTTGGTGTAGTAGTGGCTTTGAATTCCTTGACTTTGACACATTCAGATGTATAACTAGAACTGAATCACCAAGTCTGTAAAGAGCACTGCTAGATTGAGACTTGTCATAGTGGTTATTTAGGTCAAGGAAAGTAAAGCTTCCTTCTGCTTAAGTATTGTAAAAGTCAAGAGAAATACTGAATTTACAAGAAAATCTGAGATACCTTAGCTAAAAAATGGGCTACTGAAACTCAGATCATGACATCACCTAACCCAAATGATCTAGAAAGGAGAAGAGTAAACTGAATTTGTCTTTTCTCTGTTTGTCTGTGAAGTTGGAGACCTCTATTGGCCGAAAATGAGAAAAGCAGAGGATCATGTGAGTTGAGGCCTGGGTATGAAAGTGGTGTGATTGCTTATGTGTGATAACACAAGGGAGTTGCGTGTTGGCAATCTGAACATTACTCCATCGACGACAAGAATTAAGCCTTTCGGTTCATTGCTGCTCGGTGTCATCACTCTCAAACTGCACATACTGTATAAACAGGGCTGTTTGAGGAGCCCTCTAGGCTGCGGCAGATTGTGAAATTGGCGTGAAGAGCAGCGATTCACCACACTGTTTGACTTTGTTTCACCCAGAAGGAGAGCTTTGTGATGGCGGGGAACAGTCTATACATTCTAGGAGCAGAAGTTGTTCCAGATATACAAGAAGTAAGAGAGTAAAGCAGCCTGCATCTGCTCTGTTCTCACTCCACCGGCTGGGTCTCACCCAGGGAATACAGGCAGATCCCACGGGGTTTTCTCCCTGCATTCAGCTGTGGAAAACTTGTTTTCTTCCTTTCTGAGGAATTAAAAATGAGGTTTTAACTTTGATACTCCTTAATACTGTGCTCAAAACAAGCTATCTTTTGAGTGCTGCTGCTGATTGTAAATGAGTATATTTACTGATATACTGAGACAATTCAAGATGCTTCCTTTGAATATTTTCATTTTAAGCAACTTTATACTCCTCATCTTCATCTCGGTGGCATATGCAGAACTTCATACGTTCTATCGCTTCATTTACCTGAGAGCTTTAGTTACCTTTCAAAATACAATTCGGTCCTGTGAAACATTTGGATTGCCCAATGTGCTGATTTTGAATTGGAATTAATGTGAAAAATCTCCTAAAAACTATTTAAAATCCCTTTTGGCTTGATAAAGTTACAACTAATGGTTATATATAACTAATTGTTGTCTAAATTGACCATTTATGAAGGGATAGCGGCCTCCTCTCTCTGGATCTCTACCAAAACACATTCAACACCGCACCATCAATCTATGTTCAAATCACAAATCAAACGTTGTTGTATATTTTAACTTTGTTGTTTGAATGTTATCCTGTACATGTGCCTTAAATACATGAGTGAAATGCATTATTATTATTAGTATTATTGTTATACCAACAACCTAATTTAGACAGTTATCTTTCACATATTATTGGTGTCACTCTGACATGTCACAGGTCAGCCTGGCTCTGCTGCATGTGTTTACTTTAAATCCCTCAGTCGTCTAAAGCGAACCTCTGTCCTGATCACAAGCTCACGAACAGTTTCCCAATGAAATCCCCCGCTGGTAAATATAAAAGACACATCTGAGATAATAGCTTCCACTTCTCCGATTCAACATGCAAGGGCTCCTCCTTTGTTGCCTTGTGGCGCTGGCCGGTAAGTTTGTATTCATTCATTCATAACAGTTTACTTGATATCTCAATTAATTAACATACACCTTACTCATAATAATGAGGTTGATTCAATTGTTGTTTTAAATCTGTGATTCAGTCCACGGTAATTTATTAATCTGTTTAGAGATTGACTTTAAAAATAGAGTGAGGTATCATTTACAGTGTTTGACTTCAGCCATCTATCTTTTTTAGTTGCATTTTAAGTAGATTCTGTTCTTATGAATCTAATGGCATTTAATTTGTTTTGTTACATGTAGTTTGTCTGTTTTTCAACATATTTGGACCCATTTGGAAATAATTTATTTAACACTTTTTCTCCTGAATTAAATGTTTTGATTAGCTCATAGATAAATAAAATTGGCAATGTATTTATGGTTTTAATGCTGACTATATCTGACTTTTATTCTTTTAGCAAGCCAAAGTGTCCATTTTGGTGAGTCTTGTAGTCATCATTACAAATTAAACATAACTTTTTTTGTTGCTATTCATAAAGTAAAAGTGAAGTGACATTTCCTTATGTAAACATTTTCCAGAGCTTGGTCTAAACCCGAAGAAAACGTACGAGTATACATATGAAGGAGTGGTACACTTTGGACTCGGCCAGCCAAACATTGCTGAGTCTGGCGCCAGAATGATGTGCAAGATCAAGATTGTTGGTGTTTCTCAAGAGACCTTCATCCTTCAGGTAAGAGTGACAATAGGAAGTCTCTCAATGTTGTATAAATACTTTATAAAACCTGTTACTGAGTATAGGCAGGGTATATTATTAAGTTGTTAATGAGTTCAATTCATGTCTGATTCATATTGTAGAGTATTTGGTAGTGAACATTTTTTCATTTATTTTTTATTCAGGTATCATACATTATTTTAAGGTCATTATACCTCAAGGTTCAAGGTTCAAGGTTCAAGGTTCTTTATTTTGTCATACGAACATAGCTACAGTGTAGTTATGCCGATCAAAATCTTAGGTCACAGGCTTCTCCAACAGTGCAACACAATAACACAGACAAGTAAATAGTAAATACAAAAAGAAAAATAGTTTTAAAAAGTGTTTAAAAAATCTTGTTGTAAGATTGTACAGCCTCTAATCACCCAAAAATAACTTCTAATGGCCTTAGATAAAGGTAGGAATCTTTGCATATCACCTAATGAAGAAGCGTTCCTATTTCTTCATTTATCTTGAACTGTTTTGAAACAATGTATGTATCTTTTATAATGCATAAATAGTCACCTTCAAGTACCATTTTGTCATCTTTCCGTCATAAACACATGCTGCATTTAAACTTTATTAGAATTATATTAAAGATAGCTTTACCTATCTATTGAGATAGTACAAACAGATGCCAGTTCTTGTCAACTTTAGTTTTATTACAAGTGTCACCTGTGTTTTATTTGACATAAAGAGTTAAAACGCTTTATTATTATCTACAAATTGTGTGACTATTCAAAGCATTTATCCTGCTCTTTTCCATCTCTGGTTCAAAGGTTTCAGATTTGGTCTTCGAGGAATTCAACGGTGTCCTGGGGAAAAGCAGCTTCAAGGCCTCCCCAAAGCTCACCGAGCGTATCGCTGCCCAGCTCGTCAAACCCATCATGTTTAACTACGTTGGTGGGCACGTCAGTGACATCCGCACCTCTGCTGAGATCCCTGACATTATTGTCAACATCGTGAGAGGGATCCTGGATTTGTTCCAAGTCACTGTGAAGACAACACAGAAGATCTATGAGCTTGAAGAGGTGACTCACTGCTGACAGATAAACTACTCGCTGCGCCTCAGCATCAGTGCAAAGGTCATAAAAGAGGAAAATATCTTAATGATTGGTTTGATTTATCCTTTGCTTGTAGGCTAGCATCCATGGCATGTGTCAGAGTCACTATGCAACTGAACAAGATGTGAACACAAAGGACATGCACATCACTCAGGTTGTGGATGTCAGTAACTGCAAGGAGAAAGCGGCCATCTTCAGCGGAATGGCTACCGCTGTGCTCGACCAAGACTCCAAACAGGTCTGTTTGTCTCACTGCAAATGCATCTGATTCTACTATTATAAATGGACAGACTTAAAGGTCCCCTATTATACTGTTTTTCATCAATATATTATAGGTCTCAGATATATACAAAACATGTCTCTGAAGTGTTTGGCTCCAAATACCAAACAGATCCTGCATTGTAGCATCCCATAATCCCCTCTGTTTCAGCCCTGTTTCAAAAGTGCTGATTCTCTGTCTGTTACTTTAGATGAAAATAAGGAGCCACTCCCCACGCCCCTCTGAGAGATATTTGGTTAAAAAGAACACAATGGTGCTCTAGGAGGAGTTTCAGTTGATAAGGGAAGCTGTGGCTCAGTGAGTAGTGTGCTGGACTTCGAATCAGGGGATAGCAAGTTCGAGTCCCACTGCAGTCAGCATGTCATTGTGTCCCTGGGCAAGACACTTCACCCCAAATTGCTCCTGTGAGGATTGTCCACAGTACTGAATGTATGTAAGTCACTTTGGATAAAAGCGTCTAACAAATGACATGTAATAATAAGGTGGGGGGGGGTTAACTTGGTTGGTTATTGGCTAATGGTTACACAAGCCAAAACATCATTATGACATCATAAAGTGGCCAAAATCTGATCAGCTCATTTTCAGACAGGTTTTTTATATAAATGGATTAGGACAAAAAGTGAGGGAATCTTTTTTCCTGAAACTTTCAGAATCTCTTAACGCAGAGGGGACACATGTTTATGTACAAAAGACAGGAGAAGCATAATAGGTGACCTTTAAGTCAGTGCTTTTTTGTGTGTGTGCCCAACAATCTAGAGAGGGGAGTCTGTCATTACCACCTTGAGATACCTTTACACAGTCCAACCCACAGCAGAGGGAGGTCTCATTACCAGGGCTCATGGCCTGGAGCAACAACAGTTCACTCCCTTCAACGTGAAAGGTGGCAGTTTCAAAATGCAGGCCACGTAAGACACGCAAATATCTAAACATCATGCCCGCACATCCACAATGTTTGTTTACCATACATGTTCTGCTTTATATAACTTCTCCTGCAGGAAGGAAATGGTGCTTTTAGGCGTGACTGACACAGCGAGCGCCGTCACATATGGGCCAATGGAAAGCAAGGGCAGCCTTGTTTACAAGTTTTTCAATGCACAAGCTAATATCCCCATTATTATGCAAAACCTGGACGACCCAGTCCCAAAGGTAATTATGATATCCTGCTGCTATGTAACATTCATCAAATGTATTCAAAAAGAGGCACCAATCACTGGCTATGCTAAGTTTCATCCAAAATAAACATAGAATAACAGCCTCAATTAGATCAGTTTCATTCTTATTAATTATAATTATGTTTTTATTTATTTTTTATCTACTGAAATAAAAATGTGCTATTACTCCTAAAATGGAATGAAAATAGATAAATATATAAATGATTGCACAGAAGACCTTATTCTAGAGCTGCGTACACTGATCAAGTAATCATGTTGTGGGTTGGCGCCCTACAGGCTATAGAGATGATCAAGCATCTGGCGGAGGCTAACCGTTACCAGGTGGACAGCGATACATCTCAGGACACTATAAAGGTCTATCAACTGCTGCGAGTGACGCCTTATGAAGGCTTAGAACTCATGTGGATGGAATTGTCTGGAAATGAAGAGCATAGGTGAGTACTTCTTTATTTGGTGGCCAATTTTAAAGGCATGTTAGCAGACACATCACATTTGAGGGGGTTTGAAATTGACGTCACTGTCACTTGTGTCTTTTGCATGGCCAAATGTCCGTGCATTATTTTTGTTTCATCAATAAAGTGTCATGTCATCTTGTATTGTGAACTTGGATCGACCTACCTGCCATCCTAAGTGCTTTTTTGCTATTATATTATGTCATTTGACTTCCTTCTCTACTACAATAAAAAAAAATGGCCATGTTTGGCATCTTAGTTGCATACGGCCAATGACCAAGCTGCTGTATTTGATGTATTGGAAGTGTGAACCGGTTATAAGGTTTGAAATTCCTAGATAAATAAGCATTTGCCAAGCTCTTGATTATAATATTATCGGATGGTGAGCAAAATATAGTCCAAGGCAATCTAATTGAAGAGCTTCCTTCTACTTAGTTCAGAAGGGCTTGAGTTTGGCACATTATCTCTGAGTGGGTTATTATTATAAAAAGCATGATGACAGAAAAGTGATGAGTTAAAGAGAGACCTTCTCGCTCATTGAAATTTAGGCTGTCACCAACACCTTCTATTTCATCCTGTACAAGTGCAATCAAATTTGACAAGTGAGCGTGTCCTTCACACTTTTATCATTTCATCTGAAGGATAATTCTAATCTTAAGTATCTAACCATTTATCAATTTTCTCCCTTTTTAACTTATTTTTAGACGTTGGTTTTTGGACATGGTGGTTGAGGTCAGCGATGCACGAATCCTGAGGTTCTTGGAAACAAGGTTCCAGGCTGCAGATATTTCTGCAGTTGAAGCTTGGCAAACCCTTTTAATGTCCATGAACCATCTGCAGGCTATTCCTGATCTGATTGAGATGGCTAAAGTGAGTTAATACTAATATGTCTGCATGTTGGAGAATGATACCATGCAATGAAACCAGATGAAAATGTTCAAATGTATCTTTTTCACAGATGTTCCTGAACATGCCCTTCAGTAAATCTAATATCAATCTGTGGCACACCGTGGTGCTCTCCTACGGCTCTCTGGTGTACAAGCACTGTAACTATTACACACCCTGTCCTGTTGCTGCTGTTCAGGTAATCAAACAGAGGAATGAATCACTTTGTGCCACAAATTAATTTTGTACGTGATGAGAACATTGATTGCTGTGTAGTAATTGAGCAAATTATCTTTGTGTAAAATACAAACGTAATCAGTAAGTGTTTGTGACAACTGTCTGCATATTTGTTTAACATCTGTATTAGCCGCTGCTGGACATGGCCGTGGAAAGTCTGAGGAAGGGTGACGTTGCGGACATGGTCCTCGCTCTGAAGGCTCTGGGTAACGCAGGTCATCCCGGCAGCATTAAGACCATCATGCGTTTCCTCCCTGGAGTGGCTGCGAACCCTGTGGATCTGCCCCCCCGAGTGCTGAGTGCTGCCGTGCAGTCCATGAGACTCATAGCTGCCAGAGACCCTCAAAGTGTAACTATTCATACCACGCAGGAATGAAAGAAAAATGTTCTCATTCTCATTCATCATATCTCTAGGCAGTACAAGTACACACACACTTTACTCAAGTAGAAGTACAGATACTCGTGTTTAAAAGTACTGACTAAACTTTTGTACTCAAGTAAAAGTAAACAAGTATGGGCTTCGAAATGTACTTAAAGGTGGGGTAGGTACGTTTGAGAAACCGGCTCGAGATACACATTTTGTTATATTCCATGGAATGCTCTTAACATCCCGATAGCAATGTATATCTTAAATGCTTTGACAAAAAATCCATAAAAATATGTCATCTGTGGAAACCGTAGTACTGTAAAAAGCACGACCAATCATTTTAGCCGACCTGGCTAAAATAACTGGATGGCCTACCTGCCTGTCAGCCTTCCATCTGTGCACAAACTTATCTCGTGCCCTCATTGGTCATGTGCGCGTTCGTGTGTGTTGGAGGAGGGGCTCTGTAAGGAAGTGGCAGATTTTTTACGGTTGTGTATTTTCAAATTCTAGCGCACTCGAGCTGGTTTCTCCAAAATTACCTACCCCACCTTTAAGTAAAAAGTACCCATAACTACCATCTGTTTTAAAGAGTAACTGACCTCCCTTTATATTAATAAAACAATCATGTCATTGTTAGCTAATGAATGTTTTGATGCTGAACAACGGCAAAATGACAACGTTTTCATTGGTCCCTCTTGTTTAGAGAAGACCAGGAAATGATGGATACACGGATTGTGTTAAAATCAATCGGCAGGCAATGACTCTATATAATAATGATCACGCCACCAAACCTGTTTTGAAAATGTAAGAAGTAGAAAGTACAGGTATTTGTTTTAAAAATGTAAGAAGTAAAAGTAAAAAGTCGTCAGAAAAATAACTAGTGGAGTAAAGTACTGATACCAGAAAAATGTACTTAAGTACAGTAACAAAGTATTTGTACTCTTCCCACCTCCGTCTCTAGGCAAGTTTTTTATATAAATCATGTTTATGATAATTGAATGCTCTGACCACCATAGTCAAGTGGAAAATGTCATTGTCTGATAAGGTCAAATGCAGATTAACAATAACACATAGCTCAGGCGGTAATGTTGACATCAAGCAATTGGAAAGATACTGAATGCCAAATTGCTCACAATGGCATGGCACACATTCAATGGTGTGTGAATGTATGTTGATGGCACTTTGTATGGAAGCCTATGCCTCTGTATGTATATGGGTGAGTGCTGCCATGTGTTCATAAGCACATTGAGTGGTCGCTAAGACTGGAAAAGTGCTTTAAAAATGCAGTCCATTTACCATTAACTCTATTCTATTCCTGGAAAGCATGGCAAATGTTCTTCATTCTTCAAATCATGTGAAATTGCACGTCTGATTCATGCTATTGTCATTGTGGAGGTTCATAATCTTCTCCACTCTTACATCAACAGCATTCACAGTGAATCTGACTTTTTAAGGTTCATTGTTAGTTTATATAATAGAACAGAAATTGAAAACAGCGAATGGTTGAATGTGCTGTCTTCTGGACTCCAGATCATTAAAATACTTGTGTTTTCAGGTCCAAGACATCACCATGAGCCTGTTCCTGCAGAAGACCCTTGCCACAGAGATACGCATGCTGGCCTTCATGATCCTGTTTGACACCAAACCATCACTGGCTCTGGTGTCCATAGTGACTATGCATCTGCAGGAGGAAAAAGACCTCCATGTTGTCAGTTTTGCATACTCCTACCTGAGCAGCCTTGCCAGATCCAGTACTCCAAACAACCAGTTCCTGTGAGCAAAACAAAGCAGCAATGAACAGATGTTGTTCAATCATTTTCAATGTTCTCCTGTTTTAAATTGTTTTGCCTTTGTGTTCTCTACAATAGCTCAACAGCCTGCAACGTAGCAAGGAAAATCCTGACCCCTAAATGTGGTCGTCTCAGCTATCACTACAGCAAAGCAATGCGCATGGACTGGTTTAATGGTATGCTCGAATACAGATTAGGTTCAGGTTCAGGTTATTTATTTGTACCCATAGGTAGATTTGGTATTGCAGTTAAATGACAAGGGATCCATTATGACACACGTTTTTAAACACTACAGACAACAGGCAAATCAAAGAGTACCACATGCTCCATCACATTTAAAGACCACTAGTACAAACGTGAAACAATCGAGTGAATATATCTCGACTTCTGTGAAACCGTTGCATGACAACTTGTTTTTTTTCTCCACCAAAACAGATGATTTCCTCATTGGTACAGCCACAGAAGTCTTCATGCTGAAAAGTGCTACAAACATCTTACCTACTGAAATCATGATGAAAGGAAAGTTTTACTTCATTGGTAGAATCCTGCAGCTCCTGGAGGTACGGCGCAATAGTTTGAAACTCTCTTTTAAGATAAACACAGCTTCCCAATCGTGAGTACCAACTTTTTTTGTCCATGCTGCAGATGGGTATCAATGCTCACGGACTTAAGTATCTGTTCGGAAACTTTCAACAAAGCTTTAAAGGAGATCTTGGTTCAGGTGACTTCCAGGCTCTTTACAGTGTGGTGAGTATATCAATATGACACTTAAAGGCAGCACAGTTACTGTAGCTTTATTTGTTTGGTTAACCATTATGCTTGTTATTGTGCTTGGTCATTTTCAGCTTCAAAACTGGGAAATTATGCCAAATGACAAGCCCGTCCTTACTGCCTTTGCACGCGCTTCCGGACAAGAGTGGTTCTTTGCTGATATGGACAAAGAAATGATTCGGAACATCATCAATGTGAGAGTTTGATTGAGATTTGTAGTAGACTTGGTCAACAAAAGCCCCATGTGTTCACCATTTATATGCTGCTCTCATGTGATCCTACCTGCAGGTTGTCAGACCGTCTGCACGCAAAGGGAGCCCTCTGTGGGCTTCCATCGAGGATCTGCAGAGAGGAGTGTCATGGCATCGCACAAAGCCATTCTTAATCTTTGAGGTTCGCTATTTCCAAGCTACCACCCTGGGTCTCCCACTGGAGATTAGCAAATACTATAAAACCATCAATGGAATCACTGTTAATGGTGAGAAGTCATATACTACATACAGGACCACATTACAAGTCAACATGGTACTGATAAATGACTAAAACTTCATATTTGTTTGTGTAGCCAAAGCTGCAGTAAATCCACCACTGACCGAAAGTCTTGGAGAGCTGTTGAGTTCGGACATTTCACTGGAGACTGATGGTTTTATTGGGTACATATTTAATATTTATTTTATTTAAATTAACACTTCAATCATGTTTCAAAATGGTCACAGGAGCCTACAATCGAATTATGTTTGTTGTATGAAGTAACACATTCTGAATTAACCTCTTTTTTTAGTTTCACAAAGGACTTTTGGGTTTTCTATGGGATCAACACAGAGCTGTTCCAGTGTGGAACTGAGTTCAAGAGCAAGACTCCAGTTGCTATCCCGTGGAATTTTTCTGCTAAGATCAATGTCAGAGAAAGGAAGTTCGAACTTGACTTCCCTTTATGCAAAAAAGAGGTTGAACTCCTTTCAGTCAGGTAGGTGTTACTGTTACATCAAGCATAACATCATAGTTTCTCCTTTGTACAAACACTTGCTCAGTACACCATACACACACATACATTTATGGGATGATTTATTCTGTAAACGCACTATCGACATGTCCAGGGGACTCAGTCTTTGTTTGTTTTTCATAATGTTACACTTAACAACACAAATACATATTGAAATCGGCCAGGAATACAGGTAGAACAAGCTCTACTCAGTAAACATTTGTATTGGGCCAAGCAAATGTATAACAATACCACAGTGTGTTGAATTGTTGTCTATATATATTTTTAGTTTTTGGAGAAAAAAGCAAAAAAATGCTGTTTTCACAGCAATATTTAACAGAGGGTGCGGGGGAGGGAATTATGACAAAAACAGTCTTCAAACAATAATACACTTTTTTATGTTGAAATATATGAGTTTTATTGTTTTGTTTCACTTTTTTAATTTTAAATAGCTTTAAATACTGAATCAAAATGTAACTAAATCAAACCATAACACTATGAATTAAAATCAAATACATCTTCTATGGATAGTGCTTTTTGCTATAGATTGAGTTTTGGACATGCTAATCAGAAATCAGCCAATTTGCATAAATGTAACAATCATTATTTTCCCTTTAAACCAACAGCTCTAATGTGTATGCAGTCTCCAGGAACATTGAAGATCTAGCTTTGGCTAAAATTACTCCAATGATGCCCAACGCCATTGACTCCAATGATGAGCTGGTCCGGATGGGCCCCACAATTGTGAGGTCTGAGTATGAACAGGTAGCGTCAACACCGTTACCAGATTACTGTTAGAGATAAACTCATTAAGATTCACAGAACTCAAAACAGATTCATATTTTTTCATCCAATCCAACAGGTCCCAACAAGAAACAGCTGGTATCCAAAAGCCAAAGTGTGTGCTGAGAGTAGCATATATGGAGCTGGAGTGTGTGTGGAGTCTGAGTTGAGGAGAGAGTATTATCATGAGGAATACCCCCTGTACTATTTCCTGGGATACACCCGCATGGCACTCAAAGTAATCCCAGGTACGCACATTACACCACACAGGACTGCGCAATCAAAAGACATCACAGACGTACATAGGGCCTGAAGAACTTAACAAATATGTTTGCAGTTTTAGGGGACACGATGCTCAACTTACATGCAGCGAGTTAAACATTGGAGTTCAGCAAGCGAGTTTAAATAGTATCCGCTTTAAAGCTGCAGTGTGTCACTCTGAGCCACCTGCTCCAAAGAAAGGAAAAACCTTTGCAATGCAACATCCATCTATCTTTTACTGTTTCTGCTATGAGACTTGGATTTCCCTATCGAGCTCAATAAAGGTTTATCTTGTTGTATCTTATCAATCTAACAGATCCAGTCACAATACGACTGGTATTTAAAAATGTTAATGTGTAGGGGCCTATAGTTTTCTACATTAGCCATTTATGTGTTTACTGTGGCTATATTTTCTCTGCACGCTTTGATAGCATGTTATATTCCTTATACCACTGCAAAAAGCCACAAAGACGTCTTCACAACACTGTAACTTCGTTGAATGATTGTGGGTCTTGCACATTGCTCGTTTAATTCTTGTAAAAAAAAATTGCATTATTATCATTGTTTTTAAAGCTGTATCAGACAAAGCATTGCTTTCGATTGTACAAGTGTTCATGTCATTGTGTCACCTCTATACATTTCCCTCTTTTAACCCTGTGTTGATGTAGCCTGTGCACTTTTTATCAGCTCAGGGAATCAAAGCTGTTGACAAAATCCACTTTGAGGTTAATGCCGACCCTAGCAGACCCCCAGCGAGCACACGCCAACTGATGGAGACGCTGAGGAGGCTTTCCAAGGTATTTGGCTACCCGTGCAATGTTATTATCTGTGCACCTGCTCTGGTGTTTTATCCATTCACATTCTTCTGTTGCTTGATTGTGTTTACAGGAAGCCATCCAGAGAGTACGTCTGTCCTCTGATTCAGACTCAAGTGAAAGAGGATCTGATCTCAGGGCTCCTGCCCAGGTAATGGAAGTATGCTAAACATGCTCCACAGAGATCCACCCTAAAAATAGGCGATGAGCAGTGTCATCATGTCACATGTTTCACCGGTGCTAAGGATTCATGATAGCTTCACCACAACACAAAGTGGTCCATGATAAGACTGCAGTTACTTGTCTGCATTCAAAAACTCATAAAAAGTTATATAGTAAAATATTTGTTCATTTTGTTTAATTTCGCTAGTCCACACATGACACAAGATGATAGATATTCTGCATTTATTCGACATGATGCACTGGACTGCTTTCTTTCTTGTTTAACAGGCCTCTAACTCAACACCTGAAGCTGTGTACAATATCAAAGCCTTCGCCATGAGCGGCAACCAGAAGCCAGAGGGGTACGACGCTGCCTTCTACTACACCCCCGAGGCAAACACCCTGAACACCCAGCTGATTATATCCAAGGTCGGGGAGGACACCAACTGGAAGATGTGCGTGGACACCTCTGTTAGTGCCCAGGTTGAGGCAAAGGTAGATACTGAACACACAATATTGATTTAAATTATTATCTGACGGTATAAAATAACAAAAGTTTCAAAAATGATGTCTAATCCTTACATTTTGCTATTATCAGCAAATTCCAGGAGAAGACAAGATTATACAATCATATTTGATTGCTAACCTTATCCTTTAAAACATGTTCAAAAAATGTGAACCAACTATCCAGCAGCCATGACTATTTATTGCCCTTTCTTAAACTGGACAAATAAAGCCATCAATTCTCACATTTAGAATATGAAAAACTTCTGTACTTTAAGTGTGTGAAGGTTCCTCTTACCTGCCTGACACATGGAAACATATTTGTATTTTTGGCCTATCAATTTATATGCACTCGCTACATATACACTGTATGTTAAATCCTATGTTTAACCATACCACTGATGGTCCGTTTGACGTATTCTATCATAGTGCAAGTGTTTACAGTAGGCTGCAACCAAGTCTCTTGTTTGCAGAGACTCCCTTCATGATTGATCTGTTGTGTTTGGTCTAGGCACACATTAGATGGGGAGTTGAATGTCAATCCTATGAAATGTCAATGAGAGCTGCAAAATGCAACCTGCTTGGCTCCAAACCAACTCTCAAGGCCAAAATACACTGGACCAGGGTCCCAGGAAACATGGCAGAGATCGGCAAAAGGTGAGCCTTAGTGGAATAAAGGGGACGTTTGTACGAGGAAGATTTAAATGTGAGGATGACGAGGAGACTGAGCTGATGAAGGAGGATAGAGGAACTTGGTTTACTTACTTTTCTTTACAGAGCACAATGGGAACATGTTCTGTGTTTTACAATTATGACACATACTGGCAAGTGTTGTTAAAATACTTTCATTAACTTATTTTGTGTCCCTCCCAGAATTGAAAGCTACGTCCCCGGCATGGCTCTGCTTCTCGGTTTCAACCAACAATTTAAGAGAAATACCAAGCAGGAGGTGTCTGCATCAGTTGTTGTCACCTCAGCAGACAGCGTGGATGTGCATATTGAATTCCCAGAGGTATTTAAGGAAACATTCACAACCTATATTTATATGCAAAACCTTTATTGGCTGCTGTATTTACATTGATGTGTATTTTTTTCTGTGTTTTCATTAGGATACAGTCTTCCGCCATGCTATTCCATTTCCACTGCCACCTGTCTGTTTTCAGGAGGTTCAACAGGACAACAGCAACACAACAATAGACAGCTTTGGATGGGCATAATAACAAGTGGGCTATATAAAATCAGTCTGATTAGACTTAATTGGATCTTCGTCAAATTGTTCTGTGCTTTGAAACACTTTTGTAGCTGAGTGGGTACAACACATGTCCAAATTCTTCTCTACAATGTTTAATAAAGGCAGAAATAAATAAAAAAATGCTTCTCTTTGAATACTGTGTAATTGTGTGTGCAGCAGTGGATGTGTTGACAGATTTCTTTGCAAAGCAGATGTGCAAAAGCAAGCAAAATTGCTGTGCCATTTTTGCTTGCTTTTTAAAATATGCTTTGTGCTGCAGAAAGACAACAAAGCCCAGATGGGAGCCAGATGTCTCTTTCACAGAGATAACGCTGCGACCAAAATCTCACCACCCTGATGAAAGTGAAGATCATAAAAGATGCATCAGTAATCTGTCAGATATCACCCGTTGGAAATAACCTGTAAAGGTCCTGATTTATTCATTTGAAAGCCGGTTAATATTTGAACACTCTCATTTGATGAAATATTGTGCAAATTCATGATTATATCCTGAAATATTGTGCCCTCACAATACTGGACTTACCCAAACCTGTTTGTTTTTCTATTGCGCTGATTCTGTTTGATCCTTTGATCATTCAAGTGTTGTGTTCAATCAGTGATTACAATGCGGAGCAGCCATAACAACATTTATTGAGTCTCCATCCAGTTTAGTTTATGTTTGTGAATGCACCAAGAGAGACCATAAAGCAGCCTTATTGTAGATACATAGACCTTTTAGCATTATATCATTAAGAAGCAAATCCTTGATATATGGTAAAGCATTATATGAGGTCATTTGGAGCTCATTAAGAACAATTGCATACCATTTTTCAGTCAATGATCAGCAGTACTGATGACATCCTTAGCAATTCAGGATTCCTGAAAGGATGTCAACTGTGTCTGATACTAACTAGAAGCACTCATATTTGGCAAAACATTTCCTCCAATAAACAAGAGATGGAGTGGAAACAAAACACAATCCAATTTGCAGCTTTGTCTTTTCTACCAGCCAATTTGACAAACAAATAGTCTTTGTTAAGGTCCTGTTATACTCATAATATCCCATTTGATTGTCACAATACTAAAAGTTGTTGGGGAGTTTTGGATTCAGCAAACTGAATCATAAATGCCCTTTTTGGAGTGTTTCTATTGAAAGAGACAGATGTTGACAAGGTCTGTATGACCTGCTCTGTTTGTTTGATCAACTCTCCCAACAGGACTGTTTGCAGATATCAGCACACAATGTCACCAGCATGCCCTTAAAGTTCACTGCCTCTGTGCTCTTTGCTAAAACATGTCAAGTGTATTGAACAGTTAACCTACATTGTCTTACATTTAGAGATCTGAAAAGTAGAGGTATGACTTTATATCTGGATGAAAGAGATGATGAACAGTAATTGATGCTCCTGAACTAGCATGGGCACAAACCTCAACTTTGAGTGGTAACAAATTGGATGTGTCACTAGCCAAAGATAATGATCGCATCCTAAACAGAAACTGGTTGTCCTAACTACTCCTGGCTCGGCTCCTCCTGCCTACGCTGATTTAGCCAGATGGTGTCACATCTCAGAGAAAAGACATTTCCATCAAAAGGCTGAGCAGGATGAGCACAATTATAATGGGACCATTATGTTCCATTTACATCTCTAATATCCTGCGGGCTTTGAAGTGCCGCTTGACAGCCTGATTGCAAATCTGACGAGCCAATGCCAAGATTCACCTCCTGCCGTATAGCAGATCAGGACTCCCTGACCTTGTGTTGACATGTGAAATCAGCTGGTGGAAAGCATTAGTAAATGATTGATCAGATAATATGGGGGAGGAGGAGCAGGCCAACCCCTCCTCTTTACTGCTCTCTGTGATTGTGACTTGCCTCATTAGGCAGACTATACCATCCCCTGTTAAAAGCCATGAGAGTGTGACTGATAATAAAACCATGGCTGCACACATTTTTGTCCAATTGAAGCTATTAGTACATTTTAGAGTCTCGAACGGTCAATGCAGCGGATGAGTTTTATTATCCTTCAGCTCAACAAGTGACACTTCATAGAAATAATGTAGGGATAACAATAGCCTAACAATATGTTGTGAAATATAAGTATTTTTTTTTGGAATTGACAACCATGGAGCATAATCATGGACCATGTGTGTGTGTTTGTGTGTGTGTAAGAGTGTGAGCACTAGAGGACAGTGTTTACCAGAGATTCAAATATTCCTGGCACAGGGCAGGAAACCTGGCTCCGGTATTTGCTCAGTTCACAGAGAGAGTGCTATGCAGTGGATGTTGACTTTTTGAGCAACTTCAGCTTGCAAAGAGAGGACGCAATTTATTTCAACATAAAAATAGAAAACAAATGTACTGACTTAAAGGGGACCTATCATGCAAAATGCACTTTTTGATGTCTTTTATACATAAATATGTGTCCCCGGTGTGTCAAGGAACTCACAAAGTGTCAGAAAACAAAACTCTATCTTTTCCTCCGTACCCAAATCTCTAAAAACGGGGGTAAAACGGAGCTGATCCAGATTTGCGTCCGATATGACGTAAATCACGTCATCACATTAGCAAGCATCGCTAACACTCAGAGTTAACCTGTACTGAGAGAGTATGTGTAAAAAAGCAGGAAACAAAAAAAGAAACTCACCTTGTGGTAAACCCGCAAGAGAAAAAGCATTTGAGCTCCATACTGTTTCAGAAATAATCCTTGGTTTTTTATATATCTGAGACCCATAATATATGCCTAAAAATAGCATAATAGGAGACCTTTAATATTATTTGTATGCTTATGAGGGAAACAGGAAACTCTGCTTTTCACGGTATCTTAATGATGCTATGTTTAAAGTAATAAACACATTACTTTGGTTTATGTTTAGGCGAGTTGCACGAGCAGTGTCTTCTGATACAGATTTCCCATTAGCACGGGGAACTGAGTATTAGCGAATGATCTAACGGGTAATTTGGAAGAGACATAAACTGGATTGCTTTTTCACCAGCACCATATCCGACGTTAACTGTCTCCCCTTCTAATTTAAGCTACACTGAAATCAGTTCTGTAGGCAGGGTGAAAAGTGAGTGGGCGAGACCGGTTACATCACTGACATTATCACTGACATTACCACTGACATTACCAAGTGGGCACACCTAGACACGGCGTCGGACACTTCCTGACACCTCCAGAGGCTCAAAATCTGACATTATGCCTGCTGTATGACTCCCATCTTCCCATAAGGTAGTTGCTATGCTATTAAAACATCTTGTTGCTCTGCACTTCAGTAGTTGTGCCATCTTTTTTTTCTAGATAATTTATTTTGAGACTTAATTCTTGGTGCAGCACATCCCTTTCATTTCACTACTGTCATCTTAAGAATGCGTTGCTGAACAGGATCACGACATGCTTTGGACTGTTGTGACAATATTACAATAACATGTGATTACCATGCTGTTTTGTTGCGATCATTGTGTAAAGCAACACCTTTATATGTAGCTAAAATCAGCAGGGCTTCTTTGGGGCTTTTGTATAAAGATAATTGCCAACTGAGGTCAGATGGTTGAAGTTAGATTTCCACGGTTCAGGCTGAAATAGCTGCTGTCTGAAACACAGAGCTTCTATTGAGCCTGTGCAGACACTGATTCATTTCTGCCAGCCAGCCTGAAGGCTACAGACATATATTTCCACAATAAGTGGAATATTCAATCATAAAGCTGAATTCAAGATCTTTAGTCAAAAGTGAGCATTTATATTGCTATGGTTTTTAGCTCCTTAGGTTTTCATTTTGCAAATCGCATTCGATGCTACCAAATTCTGCAGAATGAATTGCAGACTTGACAGCTTAAATGTATAATTGCTTACTTATAATTCAAATCTAGTAATTGTGTTTATTTTTTCCTTATTTAGATAACATGAACGAGGAATTAAACTACACTGTGAAGTTTTGTACCAAGTTTTGAAAAGAGTGGTACAGAGCCTTTTTGTTGCCAGTTAATTAAGCTTGGGGGTTTATTATTGTTAAGTAAAAAATGGTTCCTTAGTGTCTGTGTGTAATTAGTGCTTTTTGTGTTTGCCCTAAGCTTTCATAGCTGCAACAACTGCAGTTTTTTGAAGTAAGGATGTTTTTTAATTGCATGCTGGAATAGACTCCAGCCTTGTGCAACCCTAAACAGGAAAAGCTGTAAAGAAAGTGGATTAGTGGATTAGTGGATTATATATTGACATTGGATAACTGCTGTATTTCAAACCATGTTCTGTGGATCCATCAGATAATTCTCTAACTTTGAACATCCAAAAAGTAATTATAAATGCTTGCTTTCAGAAATTCACAAGATCTGTTTTTCTGCAGGCTGCAAATCTTATATACTGGGATGTGCATTTGTAATGTTCCATTATTGTTTAGTCTAGAGAACCTAATTAGTTAAAGGGGGGTATATAGCTGGCCGCTGTAGGATTCCAGAGAAAACCGTTAAAGTCACCAATCTGCCTTTGAGGCAACAGACGTGCTCAAATTGAGGAAATATGTAGTTGTTTGGGTATAGGACCAAACAGACTACAGCAGAAACTACAATCAACAGTTTTGTGGAGTCAGTGATTTCAAACAATTGCATTTTGTTCAGTGGGGGAGGGTGATGATAATGATAAGACAGCTACACTTAAAATACAAAGGGTATATAAGCTTTGACATGGTTTGTCTTGTGGTGAGTGATGGTATTTGTCTTTACAGATTGCATCATATACTGAAACACTTCCAGGAGACTGAATATAATATTAGTTTAATTGCAACAGCTAAATTACAAAGAGTTGTTTTATGATTGTTTCAACCTGTATGTTAAAATCCAAAAAGTCTAACTGTGTTACTGAATCCTAAAAGCACCAATGCAGCTGGAGCTCTGTTTCTATAAATTATAATATTGGGTTTTTTCTCAGATCTCCAAAAAGTACATCACAAATCCATAGACCCTTTGCCTCGATTTGCAAAGGCTTCATCCAACCCACCTGAATAAGCCCACCCTAACAATAATGGTCCATAAAGGGCTCGCCCCTGAGGTCACATGGGTGAGGTGGGCAGCTCTCTTTGTCAAAACAACTGACCAACTGACATTGCTAAAAGCCTGACATTAGAAGGACTACTTGTATACACCCACACAC